CCCCAAAACCCCAAAACCCCAAAACCCCGTATTACTATTTTTTGACTAAAAGTTATCAGCAGAATATTTACAGATTAATGAAAAATGATAAGTACAGCTTCATCGAACAATCCTGAGAAATAATATTAAGATGATTGACACGCCTAGCAGAAAAATAATGGCGTATTAAAGCATTTTTTGTCTCATCTCTGCTCTGCTGATTTACTTAGTTATCGTATCAGCTTGCTGAATGTCAAAAGCTATTCTTTGATTGGTTTAAGCTATTTTCACCAGTCCATCTCTTTGCCTATATTACTCTTAGTTTGCATCTCTTAAAGTCTATACAGTTTCCATACCCATGACTTTAATCTGATTGATTTAGTTGCCCTGAGAATTGATTTCTTGATGATTATTGAGCAGTCTATATCTATTGTTCTAATGCTGATCACCTGCCTCCTCTAAACTTTCCACGCTATGCTCTAAACTGAAAAAGGTAATTCTCTGTTCCTTAATTTCATCTCTGAATTTTTTAAGCTAATTAAATTTCTTTATAATATCATGTTAATTACCTTAGTAGTATAATGACTCTTTTCATTTGGAGCTAGCAATGACCATTATATTTCAAGTTATTTAGCCTAAATTGTGTGAAAAGCATAAAATATTACTAATTAATCTGAGTTATCAAGGTTTTTTCTTATTTTTTGCAAATCCTCTTTCAATTATGCACTAATATATTGTTTAAAAATCTTTGCCTTACATAGGGAGATTTCTAACATTCTATCCTCTAGGGAATTCACCAATTTATTCCTCAATCGCTTCTATGGATTTCTTGAGATCCTTTTTTATTATTTTGAATACTTCTGTCATGTTGTTTTTAATATTATTAGTAATATTATTATTGTTATTGCAATAATTTAATTAGGCTGATTATATAATTTAAAATATAAATTACAATACCGCTTAATTCTACTAATGGTAAGTCAAATCTGATCAGACTGAACGCACAAATACTTACCTAACTTTCATCTGTAGTTTTCAGATAACAACCCAACTGGATTTTTCTCACACGGTGGGAATAGCTATGGAAATAATCAGGATAGCAATAAAAAAGGTTATGGTGGAAACACCTAGGGAGGAGACATGGCCCGCAAAAAGAGACTTTTCACTCCAGTCACTTTGAAGATGTTAGCAGACGCCCCACTCGGACCAGATGATAACTGCGAGATCGAAGGAGAGCAAATCTAGGATGTATGATTGAACTTTAGACTAATCACTTTAGATCATCATTGTGGGCAGATTAATCAATAGAACTGAGGAGTCAATGAGAATTATGTTTGAGATGCATGATAGCACAGGAACCTTTAAGATTATATTCTACAAAAAAGACTAAAATATGGTCCCTTCAGCACTTAAGAACTTTGATTACCAGTAATGCAAACAGAAATGTATCATTTATTGCTTGTAGATATAACATGTATGCTAAAATTTTTGGAACAGTCAGAGCTTATAAAGAAGAGAAGGGAATTGTTGGCACTCATATGAAGAAAGTAGAAAAATTCGATGAGATTCCAAATCACTTTTTGCAAGTATTCGTTGCCAGCTAAATGAGACAAAAAGGAGTTCTCACTGTAAGATACAGACTAGTTTATCATGAATATAGACAAAGGATTTCTAGAATGATGCAGGCACTTCTGTTTAAGGAGGTATGATGGGCGGAGCAATGATGAAAGCCGGTGGAATGTCGATGGGAATCTCAGGAGTTTCTGATGCTCAAGAAGTTATTCTTGCCATCATGAAGGAAATGAGTAAAACTGGAAAATTCATTCACAAAAGCGATATCTATACTATGATCTCTGGAAAATTTGACTTCAACCAGTTTGAAAAAGCTTTGGAGAGGCTATGTAATGATGGAACAATCTACTCCACCTATGAAAAAGATGTGTATTCTATAAGTGAAATCAATTGATGATGTTATTATGAGTATTTTATTTCGCCTATATTCTTGTTATCTTCCTGTTAATTATTCTAGCTAAATGGGGTTTTGGGGTTTTGGGGTTTTGGGGTTTTGGGGTTTGGGGGTTTTGGGGTTTTGGGG